TGGTTAAAGACTGCATTCATGCCGTGCTCAAGGAAGAACTGGCGAACGCTGCATATTCTCCAGATGAAATCCCTTATCTCACAAAACATCTATCAGAAGTCATTAAAGATAAACTGAAAGGTAACCTGGGCTGTAATACAAAAGTGTTCCCTTCAAAACCCAGTTCTACCCAGTTCTTGCTCCATTGTTGTTGTTTTGTTTGTTGTTTCAAGACAGGGTTTCTTTGTGTAGCCTTGGCTGACCTGGAACTCACTCTGTAGACCAGCTGGCCTGAAATTCATAGAGATCCATCTGCCTCTGCCTCCTGAGTGATGAGATTAAAAAGGTGAGCCACCATGCCCTACCCCAAAACCCTTTTTTCTTCCTTCTTTCCTTTTTCTTTTCTCCTTCCTTCCTTCCTTCCTTCCTTCCTTCCTTCCTTCCTTCCTCCCTCCTTCCCTCCCTCCCTCCCTCCCTTCCTTCCTCTCTCTCTCTCTTCCCTCTGTCTCTCTCTCTTTTTTTTTTGAGATAGGGTTTCTCTGTGTAGCCTTGGCTATGCTAGAACTTAACTTTGGCCTCGAACTCATAGAGATCCGTCTGCCTCTGCCTCCCAAGTGCGGGGATTAAAGCAAAACACTTCTTTTAATGTTGTACCATCAGAAAACATCCTTACTTTTATCTTTGCCATCCCTTTTTGTAGTGTTAGGGGTGGATCTCAAGGCCTCTTGCATGCCAGGCAAGTGTTCTACCGTAAAGTCATGTCACAGATCTGGCCCTGCCCTTCTTCTTACTTTTTCCTTTCTTTTCATTTTATTTGGTCACATGCCATGATTTTTATTCCATCGAGGCCACTCTGTAAGAGTGGAGGATTTGTTCTCAAAACAGTGCTCCATTTTCATCTAATCCATTCTTTAGTATTGTAAGACTCACATGATAAATATAAAGCTACATTTCTTCTATAGTCTACACTCAATGGGAAACAAGAGGCATTATTAGCAACAGTAGTTTAAGAAGGTACACATCATAGTAATAAACACTGGGGTGCCAGGATAAATTGACATTTCTTTTAGGGGATTAAATTTATTATCAAAAAAAAGTGCTTTAAGCACGTTTTCTAATATCTGTGCTTCTATGTCGCCAAAATAGTCATGCTAAGGCAGCTGAAATGAGTGCTTGCTCCAGTGCCTCATAAAGTCAAATACAACTCTAAATAACACTGAGAAAGAAATTCACTCTTTGATCAGAAGGTAATACTTTTAAAAACATTCAAAGAGCAGTATTCTTTGTTGTTGTTTTGTTTTAGACAATGTTTCTGTGTAGCCCTGGCTGTCCTGGAACTCACTCTGTAGACCAGGCTGGCCTCCAACTTAGAAATCTGTCTGCCTCTGCCTCCTGAGTGCTGGGATTAAAGGTATGACAATTTTTAATATCACCCACCCAACCTGTTTACTTGCCATTCATGTTTAATATCTATACGTTTATTTTTTTCTTTATTTTTCCCCCTAGATAGATCATCCTTTGCCCGGGCTGACTGCAAACCGACCAGGGAAATTTAAAGGGAAAGTAATGTTCCTAGGTTTTATTGCAGGTTAACTTAGTGTTTATCTTCAGATCTCAGACCCCTAACCTCACCATCATTCTCCTTAAGTACCTGAGGGCTTAGGTCTATTCTGTTTTGTGTTCAGTAGGTCATTATAGTACGTACTTGACTATAGATAATTTTCTTTTCTTTTCCTTCCTAGAATTGGGATATGATCGGTATAAAATGGTGGTGCAAGTAGTGATTGGAGAACAGAGGGGTGAAGGAGTATTGTGAGTAGTTGGGTTTTTCTTGTCTGTATCTGTGCTCCTGGGAGTTATCCATTGTGTGGATAGATGATTCAGTATCAGTAAGCATGTGTCTTTGTAAGAATGAGGAGGCCGCTTTAACACATGCAGCTGTGAACTGAAGAGGTTTTAGCAACTGAATAGTAACAGTCTGGGTGTGTTCCGGGGTTGAAGTCTTTAGAGTTTTATTTAGTTATGACATTCTTGCTGCTTGCTCTGTGTTTGGATGCATTGCTTAGCAGTCTTTGAGGCCTGTCTGTGGCCTCCTGACAACCCATAGTATTTGGTTAGCAGTGCTGTGGGCTGGGGATATAGGGCTTTACAATAGGAGGAGGTAAGTGATTCACATCACTACAGCCTCGGCCTCCACAAATCCAGAGGCATCTTCAGAGTGACACTGTGCGTGCTGCAGTGTTTTGTAGTTGAATCTTACACTGATTTATTTGGCTTGGCTTTGTTAGAAGTAGTCAGGCTGAGCTCCAGAGAGTACTGGGAGGCTGAGGAGATGGCGCAGCAGATACAGGCGCCTGCCACCAAGCCTGACAACCCAAGCTTCATCTTTGATTCAACATATCGGAAGGAGAGAAGCAACTCTCGGTAGTTGCCCTTTGGCCTCCATTTTATGCCATGGCACACAAGTCCCTTCCCACTACCCTTTCAGGATTATATAGGACCCAGCATGGTGCACACCTTTAATCCAGTACTCAGGAGGCAGAGGCTTGACAATCTCTGCGAGTTCCAGGGTAGCCTGGTCTACATTGTGAGTTTCAGGATAGCCAGGACAAAAGAGAGACCCAGTCTTTAAAAAAAAAGGAAAGTAAAGAAACCCTCATCTAAAATTTTAGTATAAGTTCAGGAACTAAAGAACTACTCTTTGATTTAGCTTCATTAGTTATAAATACAGTCTGATGTATTTATATCCCTACTGCCCCTAAAGCTATTTTGAAATTCTACTTTTGTTCTTTTCCTGAGACAGGGTCTCACTGTAGCCCAGGCTGGCTTCAAGTTCATTACATGGTTGAGGATGAGCCTGTACTCTGATCTCTTGCCCCTGATTCCCAGATGCTGGGATTACAGCTTGCAGGACTGTCCCTGGCTTTTGCCAGTGAGAGGGTCTCACTCTGCAGCAACCCTCCTCAGCCTCCCAAATGTTGCTTTTATGGGTCTGAGCCTCCTAATGCCGGTCTAGTTAGAAGACCGAATCCTAGCTCTGAGTTGTCCCTTTCTTGTATGGGTCTCTACAAATTACCAGGTCACATGAAGTATTCTGTTGGACCCTTTGCAAGACTTCTTTTCCTATTATTCTACAGGAATTGAGCCCACTGAAAGTCACATACAAATGTCCTACTGAAGTAATCTATATTGGAGTTCCATCCCAAGTACCAGAGACTAGGAGAGACTGAGCTCTGTAGTTGTCAGGCAGCTGGCTGGAGTGCTAAGGTGGCTAGAGGCCCTGGGCCCTCACCTCTAGCTGCAAGCAGTCACCTATGACTCCCGGCCTTCCTAGTTTCCAGCACTTTGGAAAGGTTGGGAAGCATGGCCCTGTCAGAATGAAGAAAGTGACTTTGCTTGTGGCAGATGTGGACCACTGACCATTCTTCATTGGTATTTTAGCATGGCTGCTCGCTGTTTCTGGGATGCAGACACGGACAACTACACTCACGATGTTTTCATGAACGTAAGTCCTTGGGAAGCTCCATTCTCCTGCCTGATGAATTATGAGACATCAGCTTGTTGCTAAAATAGGATACTGTAGTATTTTTGAGACACAGTTTTTAGATTTCTGGATAAGGTGCTTTTGGCAGAGGGGTAGGGGTCGAGACAGTGTTTCTCTGGGTAGCCCCGGCTGTCCTGGAACTCTAGACCACACTGGGCTTGAACTCAGGGATCCGCCTGTCTCTGCCTCCTTGCTGCTTGGATTAAAGTTGTGCACCGCCACTGCATCAGTGGTTTAATTTCAAACTTTACTACTTTATTTGTGAAAAACTACAAGCAGAATTCATAGACATTTCTAGTTAAAGCAGAGAAATGATGACACAGCTTCTAATAATATAGTTGTGCATTCGCCCACAAGGTATTATTAAAAACGAACTTTAGCAGCATGGTGGCGCACACCTGTGATCCCAGCACTCAGGAGGTACAGCCAGGCAGATCTCTGAGTCTGAGGCCAGCCTGGTCTCCAGAGTGGGTTCCAGGAGAGCCAGGGCTACACAGAGAATCCCTGTCATGAAAAACTAAAACCAACCAACCAAACAAAAACACAAAACAAAAACCAAGGAAAGGTTGGCATGCCTTCCAGTTCAGACAGTAGAGTTCACTGTTGTGAGGAAGGCCTGGCAGCCGGAGCAGCGGTTCATAGCTGTGGCAATGGGAACTTGTCCATGTTAACAGTAGATCTCTCCTCAGTTAAACCTCTCCTGAAATGTTCCCACAGACTTGCCCAGCGGTGTTTCTGAGGTGACTCCAGACCTAGTCAAGTTGGCGATGAAGGATAACCATCATAACCACCCCCTTTATAAATCACTGTGTTCTAAACCTCAGTCCTGAAAGTTCCTGTAAGAGTAATAATTAACTTAGTTTAAAGCTGTTTATTTGAACATATCACACTTCATTGAGCTACAAAGACTTTAAATGAAGATTCTATAAACATAACTTTCCTTTAATAATAATAATAATAAAATTATTGACTTTATCTTAAAACCACTTTTCAAAACTAAAGAGAAAGTAATTGTTCAAAAGAAGTTAAGCAACTGGCAAAGCAGAGTTCCTTCTGCCTGGTTTCTCTCGGATGCCAGGAACAGAGAAAGGAATTGAATCTCTGTGCTGTATTTAGAAAGCTGGCAATCTTTCCTCAAAAGTGTGTCCTGCATCTCCTCTCTACAGAGCCCATGACACAGGATGAAGCCAGGCTGGGTAGGAGACAGTCAGTCAGTCTGCAGTCAGTCTTGCCCCTCTGGTTAGGTGCTCAGCCATGCTTTGGAGGCCTGTGGTGTTTCTGTGTCTCTCATTAGCATCCTGTACAATCTTCCTTCATTCAGTTGATGTGTGGGCTCAGGGCAGAGTAAAGTTAGTTTCTGTTGGTTTAACCTTGTATTCTCTCAAGGGCATCTGGGACATGGTTGGCTTGGCTCAGAACAGTTACGGGCTGGAGACGTGGCTCAGCAGTTAAACCACTGGCTGCTTTTCTAAAGGATGCAGGTCCAATTTATAGTCCTTACACTTCAGCTCCAAGACAGGGTTTCTCTGTGTAGCCCTGGCTGTTCTGGAACTCACTCTGTAGATTAGGCTGGCCTCAAACTCAGAGAGATCTGCCTGCTTCTGCCTTCCAAGTGCTGAGATTAAAGGTGTAGGCCACCATTGCCCAGATGTTTTGTTTTTTTTTTGTTTTGTTTTTTTTTTTAAGAACAATTAGCTGGCATTGTTCTTTAGGTAGTGCATGCCTTTAATCCCAGCACTCAGAAAGCAAAGGCAGGCAAGAAATCTGTGAGTTCAAGGTCAGCCTTGTCTACAATCTAGTTCCAAGATACATAGATGAACCCTGTCTCAAAACAAACAAACAAAACCCAAAATTAATTAATGGTGTATTCCACTAACACATATATGCAGATTCCTTTCTACAATATTAATTAACTAATTATACAGTATTCTGTCTGTGAGCCAGCAGGCCAAAAGAGGGCACCAGATCTCATTATAGATGTTCAGGAGCCACCATGTGGTTGCTGGGAATTGAACTCAGGACCTTTGGAAGAACAGCCAGTGCTCTTAACCTCTAAGCCATCTCTCCAGCTCACAAATGTGTTTTATAAAACAGAGTATTATAAAATACCCCATCTATCCTTTCTCTTCCTTATCACCTCCAGTGAAATGGATATAGTGGCGTATGCCAATGTTCCCAGTACTTGGGGAGTACAGGCAGAAGGGTCAGGACTTCCATCCAAGTCATCCTGGGCTAGCCTTGACAACATGAGACCCCTGTCTCAAAAACAAACAAAAGCCATTAAATAAACACACAGACATGCAAGACAAACCAAACAAACACAAAAAGGTTTCATTTAAACACTGGTATGTTATTGGTACATGTGTTCAAGGTAACTTACTTTGATACTTGCTTCCAGAAATCACCCAGCACTAAAGTCCTCTCAGATTGTAATCAGTAGAGTCAGTAGAGCAGAACAGAAATTGGACTAAGTAAACTAGGAAGGGAGCTCCATTTCCAGCTGAGTCACTTTGATTGACTTTAAGGAAACCACTGGGTTATTCTGAGATTGTATCATGAATATTAGAAAGTAGGTTTTCTAAAGGCTGGGTGCAGCTTCCTAATACTGAGGAACTTATTTAAAAGCATAGATGCCAGGGCCTTTTTGAAATAAATTCTGATTACTAAGTTGAAGTTTAGATCAGTGAATCTCAGTCTGTAGGTTTCCCACATGTTCCTCCTAGTTGCCAGGATTTACAAAAGCAGCAATATAAAGGTGGATGTGATGGTACATGGCTTTGATTCTAGCATGTGGGAAGTAAAAGTAGAAGGATTAGAGGTCAAGGGCCATGACTACCTGAGCCCCTATCTCAAATCACCCAAAACAACCCCTGCAAATCCATACACACAGACACACACCAAAGCGTCACTATGTGAATGAATGGACATTAAAAAACAAAACAAAACAAAACAACAGAACAAAATAGGCCTTCCACCACCAAGATGCTGTTGTTAGAACAGAGATACTCTGCAAACAGAAGAAAAAGGAAACAAAGAATATTGGCAGAGATCTAGAGTATAATGTCAATGTTAATTGTCTGTGTTGGCCTTTCTCATAAGCACTAACATTATGGGTTACTGTCTTCTGTTTTTCTATTCTTTTTTTTTTTTTTTTTAGGACAGCTTATTCTGCGTTGTAGCAGCATTTGGTTGTTTCTATTATTGAATCTTTGGGAAGAGTGACTGTGACTTTGAAGAAACCTCAGCTTTTTATACTGTTAAATATCCTGACCAAATAAAAATAAGTTGGCACTTTGGTGCCTAAAACTGTTGTTTTAGGGTTTTTATGTTTAATGATTTGATTTTATTATGCTATCTGTGTTCTTACTACATTTGGAAAAAATATAGAGAAAAAGAAGAGGGGAAAATTCATTTTAATATTTCAGCCAACTAGATATTTGGGTGTAATTTCTATTCATTGTTCTTTATAAGATGTAAAAAGAAAAAAAACATATAAAATGTATTGTTTTCTTCACCCCTCATGTCATGAATAGTTTTTATACTGTTCTAGTTTTTATGACTTTCATGATAGCTTGTATTTTTATACCATTAGGTATAATGGACCATTTGTGTTCAGTCCTTTCGTTATTGAAGGACTAATTTCAAATTTTTGCACCATTATAAAAACTCACAGATGAATTTGTGCATTACTTTCTTTATATTGTTGCTGTTTTTCTTCTAGTCTCTTACTGCTCAGCTACTGGCTATCCCATGGTCTACACAGCTCACAGCTCAAAGGTACATTTGTTTAGTGTCAGGGTCTGAGAAGTTTCAAGTGTGTATGAAAGTAGAATCCCTTAAATTTAGGAGGTTACAGCCTGGCTGTAGTGGCACACTATTTAATCCCAGCAGCCTAGAGGCAGAGGCAGGCAGATCTCTGAGTTCCAGTACAGTCAGGACTACAGAAACCCTGTCTTGAAGAAGAGGAGGAGGAGGAAGAAGAAGAAAGACCCAGAGATTTCTATGTTGGCTACAATCCAACCTATTTGTGATGCCCATCTTTCCCAGACAGGCCCTTGGTGTCTCCTCCAGCTAGGCAGTCTTCTGGATCATTTTATTTGCTATATCCAAATATCTACTTGAACAAATAAAGGGTGTGTTGGATTTTAATAATTTTTTTCCTTGGAAGCATCTCAGCAGATGCACAAGTTTACATCCATATTCTTTCTTCTCAGTTATCTTCAAGTAAAGAATTCAAACAAAAAAATACATTAAAGTTTTTTTTTTTCATTCTGTAACGTATCTACACACTTGCCTTACATTTACAAAAATGGCACAGGGTGTGGTTAATGCCTGCATTCTGGAGGCTGAGGCAGCTCTACTGCAAGTTCAAGGCCAGCATGAGACACCTACGAAGTTCCAGGCCAACCTGGGCAACAGCGTTAAGACCTTGTCTAGTAATTACTTTTAATCCTCAAACAAAAGCTACCACTACCGTCTCGCAAAAGGGTTGAAGAGATGGTTTCGCGGTTAAGAGCACTGTCAGAAGGCTAGAGTTCAGTTCACCCACAAGGTGTTCACAAAGGCCTGTTAACTCCAGCTTCAAGATACCTGTCACCCTGTTTACGGCCTCGTGGACACACAAAATCCCTCCAAAGGTTCGCCGTATGAAGTTGGTCCTCTAGACGGCACATGTCTGCTTTCTGGCCCTCGCCTCTACTCCTGCTCCACTACCTTCCCAGTCGATTCCTAGGGATCATTTCCCGGCGAGTCAACCTAGGTCAAAATAACCGGAAGAGGAGGGTGAGCTCAGACCGGAGGGTTCGCGGGACTCAGCCAGCGGGCTCGAATTCTTCCGCGAGGAGGGGAGCCCCGGCCACCCGCGGGAACCACAGCGGGGGTTGGCGGGCGCAAGGAATGCCGGGAGACCGCAGGCCGAGACGGCCGTCCCCGCCGCCGGCAGGAGGCGCCGCACACCCGGAATTCCGGGGCCGCTGTCCCCGCGCCTGTCTCCAACGCTCTGTTCCGTCACTCCACCCGGCCGGCCCCGCTGGAAGCGGAACTACTGTGTCAGGCTGTGGTTTTCAGGGATGCCGCGGTGGAATTGACAAGTGGGTGGGAGGTGGGCGGGACTTCCTGTCCGCAGTCCGGTCAGATGTTTCCCGGGCGTCTCCCCGCAACCTATTTGACTTGGCTGGTAGGTGACGCGGCGCCGGGAAGAAATCGGACAGGACCGGGGCCTGGGGAAACCGCGGTAAGGACACCCCGGGGCCGTGTGTGCTTGCGGGAACAAACGCGGGCTGGGACGGTGAGGGGGTGGGACTGAAGAGCGGGTCACTGACAGCCAGGGAAGTGTGAAGCAGGAGGCTACTGTGACCGAGGTACAGTGACAGCCAGGAGGACTGTGACCCAGGGCTGGCCGCTTGGGAGGGGTCTGCGACCCCCGGCCAGTAAATGCGAGGGACTCTGACCTCGGAGAGCACGAGGCAGAGGCTGCGACGGGACCATGACCGAGTAAGTATGCAGCAGGGACTACCGGGGGACTGACTGACCGATGGTGACTGAGGGCACTGACCGACAAGCGGTGACTCTGAGGGCTGACGTGGAGAAGAATGGAAGATCAGCAATTGGGGTTGGCGCTCTGAAGTTGTGTTCGTGTACAAAGCGTGAGTGAGCGAGTGAGTGGCCCGGCAGAGGTCCTAAGCAGAGACCGCGCTGGTGTAAGACTTATTAGACAAGAGTTTGATTTTTACCGGCAAACTTGCGTGGGTGAGAAACTTAATTCACCACTGAGTTACACTTTCTTCTTTAGTAAATGGGAAGTTCAGATTCGGGTTAATGTCTTCCGACTCTGAGTCCCAGTTGACTGTTGGGTTGTGAAGACAGTTTAGTGGACGGCAACTGAATAAAAAGACAACTGGGTTAGAATAGAAATTTCCACTGTGTTCATATAGTAGGGTTTACGAAATAGGCTTCAGGTCTGTATGTTTGCAATGATGATGTAAAGTTAGCATCTTACAATTTTACGCAGTGAAATGTAGCTAAAGTTTGAAAACTGGCTGTGGTGACACACAGCTAGAATTCTGACATCCAGAAGGCTGAGGCAGGGGTATTTTGTGTTGGAATTCAGCCTGGTGGGCTCAAGATGTTTGCTTTGTTTTTTGTTTGTTTCTTTTTTGTTTTTGTTTATTTGTACCCCCAACTCCCATACACCCCCTTACCCCCAGACAGTGTTTCTCTGTGTATCCTTGGCTGTCTTGTAACTCACTCTGTAGAGCAGGCTGGCCTTGAACTCTTGGGCTCCCGCCTGGCTTCTGCTTTGAGGATGCTGGGATTACAAGCAGGTGCCACCCTGTCCAGCTTTTTGCTGTTTTGTTTAAGAAGCAGTGGATAGGATAATTTCTGATTTTTTCTTTCTGTAATGATTCTATGATTAAGGAACTGCAGGGAAATAAGTATAATGATGTATTAGGAACTGGGACCTTTGCTGGACATAGGCTCCAGCAGATGGGCTTAACTGGAGAAGGCTTTTTGATCATAATTGAGGTGACTATTTATGATTGAGGACTAAAACTCAGGGTCTTTGTTGGGAAAGCCTAAAGCTATGTTGAAATAGGGATGGTGATAGTTACAGAGGCAATGAGGAGATAGGAGTTTATTGTAGGAGAAACTGCTAGGAATAGGCAGCTGAGGAAGGAGAAACTTTGAGGATAGGAGCAAAGCTTGAGAATGGAATAGAAAACAGTCTGCTAAGAATAAAATAGAGGTAAGGAGAGAAATGAGCTTCATATTCTATTCAATATTGAAGTTTAGAGATTCTAAACATAAGTAGAACTGCTAACAAAAAGGTATTTGGCCAGATACAGTGGCAGATGTCTTTAATTCCAGCACCTGGAAGGTACAGACAGGGGGATCTCTGTGAGTTCATGGCCAGCCTGATTTACTGGGACAGCCAGGACTACAAAGAGAGACTTTGTCTCAAAAAAAAAAAAAAAAAAAAAAAAGATACTCGGGCTGGGCATGGTGGCACACACCTGTAATTCCAGCACCTGTGGAACCTGTGGGTTACATAGCAGTAAGACCTGGTTTTAAAGAAAATCTGCTGCACCTCTGAACGTGCGCCATAACATGCATGCATGCATGCACCTCCACCTCTGAACATACAGCATAACATGCATGCATGAGCAAGCACACACATAGGGAATCATAATAATAAATGAAAAAAAATTAAATGGTCTCTGATCCTGTCCAGTGGCAAATAGTATGGTTGTAGTCACCTACTATCTCAGGGAGAAAAGGACGGAAGGACGATGCTGGGATTGTCAACAGTCACGAGAGTCTGGCATGGAAAGGTTGATGTATCCATCTCTCTAACTTGATGGTTTTTACACTAAAGGCTAAGCCTGGCACCTAGGAATGATACCACATTGTGGCTAATTCAATTAAAGTTTTAGCTTTTGGTTTTATTTCCTGCTCATTCTCTTTCATGAGGGTTTGAAATGCAGTGGAAATGAGTGTGGTCTCCTCTAAACTATTTTGAGATAGGACCTCTTTATAGTCCTAGCTGGCCTGGAACTCACTGTGTCGCACAGACTGGTATTAAATTCTTGGCAGTCTGAGGTGTAATGGCCCATGTTTTTAATCTCAGCACTTGGTAGGCAGAGGCAGTTGGATTTCTCTGAGTTCAGGACCAGCTTGGTCTACATTATCAAGTTCTAGGCCATCCAGGGCTACAAAGTAAGACCCTAAAACAAACAAATATACATACATACATACATACATACATACATACATACATACATACCCATCTGTATTTCCTTCCTCGTAGAGCCCTTTGTAGATGATTCTCCTGATTGTCTCACCCAGTGCTTAAAACAAAAATCTAGCTAGGCATGCTGGCACACACTTTTAATCTCAGCACTTGAGAGGCCGAGACAGGAGGACCTCTGTGAGTTTGGGGAGCAGCCTGGTCTACTAGTGAGCTCCAGGACAGCCAGGAGAGAGAGCCAGTCTCAAACAAAACAAAACAAAACAAAACAGTGTAACAAGAATTTGAAAGCCAGCTATGGTTGTGTATAATCCTATCATTTGGGAAGTTGAGGCAGGAGGATGGTAAATCCTAGGCTAGCCTGGGCTACATTCTAACTTAACCACACACTGCATAGCTATCTGATAGCTGTCTTTACTCACTGTCTGCTTTGCAATAGGGAAAGAGTCAGAAAGGTTCTTAAGTGGACATTGCTTGGAGTTTGGGGGAATTTCTGTGTTTGATTAATTACATCTTTTTCTAAAGAGAATATGCTTCAGCTTTACTTATTACAGAAGAGGACACTCTTGGGCTTGGGGACAACTTTACTCCTCTTGAAAACTGTTAGATTTTTGTTTTTTATTTGTTTTAGTTTTTGTTGGTTTTTTTTTTTTAATTTGTTTTTTAAACCAAGTCTGAACTGCAAATTTTCTTAGAAACAAGCCAGCAAAATGGCTTCATACAGGACTGTACTTGCAGCATCTGGTTGGTAGAGACAGGAGGATCAGAAGTTCAAGGTCATCCTTGGCTGCATGGAGAGTTCAAGGGCAGCCTCTATGAAAAAACAATATGAAGAATTGATTGAGAGAGAGAGAGAGAGCTTTGTTTCACTCTCCTCCCTCCCAGCTTGTAATTGTCCT